GGAGTAGGCTATTAACCGAACGTCTGAATGATGCACTGTAGTTTCTAACTAATCCCAACTCCCGTAATTATAACCTCCACCCTCTTTAACAAAAATGTCGATTGTTCTGTTAAAACTTCATTTTGAAGGAGTCAATGGGTGCGGGAGATAATTGAGCATGAGTGAGTTAACAACAGGAAAGAGGCTCGCGTAGAGGTTCACCAGCCAGCTGCTCTAACATCAGCGATCATATTGTAAGCAGGCAATCAAATTGACAGTATATATTGGCCTACTTAATATATTGGACTAAGACTATCATCCTGTTATCTGTATAATAATATCGAGCCATTATAAATCCAAAAACCAATACTGGTCAAACTGCTTAATTAACAATAAGTACTCTCTGTTTTTAATTAACCATTTTAAAACAAATTCAGTTTGATCAAGAAGATACATAGATATAAATAACACACGTTAGAAATATTTTCAGGTATAATTAACGACGTTTTTATGAAAACTTTTTATTTTTTGCGGTTTTTTTAACATTTACAATTTTATTGTGATTGAATTACAGGTTGACAGACATTTTTGCAAAATTTCGATATCGCTCCGGTTTTGACGCGATTCGCTTGCAAACTTCAACTTCCGGAAGAAGATATTTGAAAAAAAAATCTTTTGGAATATCTTAAGGGATACTCCGATGTGTTTAATTTTGATGTTTATGGAATCCACTATCGATTACTAAAAAATATTTAAAAAGCCGATTTTTGAATTTTTATTTTTTCTGGTTGAAACTATGAATAGTATATCGTATATCGTGACCTGAACAAATTTTATAGCTCTCGATGAGATCTATCCAATGGTATATTCAGTTTTGTTGTGCGACGTTTTATCGCCATTTGAAAACCGAGTAAGAGTCCCTTTAATCGTAAGTCTTTTGTGGTCCAAACGATAATGATTATTTGCTGGAGTTAGTTCCCTTCAACTTGTTGAAAACTGTAGGTTAATGAATATTTGTATATGACGTCATAGTTAGGCAAATGTTTTCAAGACCAGATGTTTAACCTGTATAGAGAAAACGGTTGTTTCTAGAAAGCGGCGGATATCTGTAATTTTTGGTTAGGAAAGGTATTCCGAGCGCCCAGCTCTTTGTCTGTAAACTCTGTAGGTGGTTAGCAATTTTTAGTTAGAAATGCCGCCATTCTGTTAAGGGAGATAACATATATTATTACCTTATTGTTGCCTGTGTTGGTTGGTTATGAATTCTCTTTAGGGATCTGCGTCATTTCCGGTTAAATCTTTCTGGAATTGCAGGAACCACAGAAATCGGATAAAGAATTGGAATGTCCCAAATAAAAGTCAAAGGTGTCCCCGATACACATACAAAGGCTAATTATGATATGAAA